ATACTACAGGTAAGACAAAAGGTAAATAGATTTCCCTGTCCAGCACTATACTACAGGTAAGACAAAAGGTAAATAGATTTCCCTGTCCAGCCTGTAGAGCATGTAGATGTTGTCTCATTAAAATACTTACTATTTACTTTCCATGTTTTGGAAACATTTGATAATTTGTAAGATATTGTGATGTTTTAAACATACAGTTCACTTCTGTTCCAGGAGAGTGAGTCTAGGAGCATCTGGCGTCAACATGCTGTGGATATTCAGCTGATGTATACTGTAATTAGTAGTCTTATTCAAGAACTGTTTGATCAAAATAAATTCAGATACTGAAGCAGTCATAGAGAAAGAACAAGTTTTGATACAAGAAAACTCAGATTCAGTTGTGAGTTTGGCATAGGTTATGGTCATTACACACACACCCTGTGGACAGTAACTCGGAGATCATTTGACCACAGGATGTAGATTCTGAGTTGGTGTGAATTTTGACTTGAATGAGGGAGTTTCGAGGGAGATTGGTAAATTTTGGTCAAAATGAGGGATTCTCCCTCCTAATTAGGGAGGTTTTGACAGCTATGGTTTGGTTCCAGTATTCTACAAAGATATATGAATGTGTCATAAATAATTACAGTATTAAAGGGAGATAACTTCAGTGATTAATCCAGACACCGATACAATTGTTTAACAGTTATATCTGAGAAAATTGTGGCTGGCTGAAGTTAACCTCAAAAAGTACAGCAATATCTTACTGGTTACCACAGCTGGCGGTGGGAACTTCTTGGAGTGTTTCTGTCTTAAACAAAGGAAAAGTAGACTACAGTTCTTGTGTAGTTAATACTGGCTGTAGTAGTGTAGTCTGGGATATAATGGAATAATTACTTTTCCTGCACATTTTGATGTTTATAATCATTCCAACAGTTAGCTACATTAAAATTTAATACTGCCCTGAAAGAAATTGGATAGATAACTAATAATGCATTTTAATAACTACACCAGTTATTTCTAAGGATTGTTTCATATATATATGTCTCTGAGCAAAGTTTTGGAGTAGAATTATTCTGAGCTGATATTTTCTGAAAATTTAGCCTAGTAGGACATGGTTGATATACATTTATGTAAGGATAAGGAAATACTTTCTTTAGACTACTAATGATGTCTTGTCAGAGCATTCAGATTTCAGCTGAGACAACTCAAGATATTTTGAGATCACATTTAACTTTGTCTTATCATCTTCCAGCGTCTATATAGAAGTAACCATGCCCAGCAGGACAAAACTCAATATATTTCATTGTTATTCCATGTGAATAATGTACAAAACGGTTGCTGATTTCTGTAAACAAGGATTTGAGGGATCAACAATGGCATGTTTTTTGTGTTGAGTTGTATACAGTGTATTGAATGAAAGTGTGAGTTGTATACAATGTGTTGAATGAAAGTGTGAGTTGTATACAATGTGTTGAATGAAAGTATGAGTTGTATACAGTGTATTGAATGAAAGTGTGAGTTGAATACAATGCATTGAATGAAAGTCTGTTGAAATGTATAGTGTATTAAATGAAACATTTTTGATGGAAATATGTTTTAGTGAATGAAGGTGTGGTGTATTTAGGCTGATGAAAGTGTGCGGTGTGAGTGTATATAAAACGTGCTATGTGTACAATGAAGGTGTGGTGTATTTAGCCTGATGAAAGTGCGGTGTGAGTGTATATAAAACGTGCTATGTGTACAATGGACTAGGTTTATTCTGTGCTATATACACATATTGTATTGTATTTTATACAGTGAGAGAAATTTCATTGTACATTTGTATCTTCTTTACTTGACAGTGAAGAAAATTAAAATGAAATAAAAGTTGACGTATGTACATCTCGTATGCACTTTCAAGTCATCTTTTGTTCTAGTTAAGTTCCCGCTGATTTTGGCAAAACCTGAATTTCAGTTTTTGATATTTGGGAGACATAGTGTGTAATAGGAAATTTTCACTGCAGATTACTTTTCCCCTTTTTCACCCTCCATAATGAGGACAAAGGATGTATTATTACAGCGAATATGAGTTAACCACGTAACATACATAGTTAAATGTGTAGGGTGAAATTAACACTGGACGAACAATGATATCATGGATGAAGGGTGAAAGTTTGACTGGGCGAAATTACAGAATTATGCATATTTTAACCCATTATTATCAGATGGTAGACTGATCAAGTTGCCCATGTACTATCATCATAATAAGCAAACACCTCTACAAATATTAGTAACAAATTCGGGAATCAATATATTAAATATCATGTGTTACACTATATAGTTACTTTTAAACAATATGCAGTCTATATGATGGTTTTCTAAATCGAGATCATATTTTAACCGAAGCAATTAAATGTTCACTTATATTGATAAGGTTTCTGAATGAATTTTTAAAGTACAAAACGATTAATAAAATCCAGACCGGATGAAACTCCGGCCGTACGTACCGTAATTTAGAATCTTAAACTCCTTTGTGACGAGGCGTGGCGACGAAGGAGAGGACCGTACCGACGTTTCTGTCAAACTTTGTGACTAATTGCGAAGATAGAACAGTAAGTCACCATTTGTATACGGACCATTAGACACAAATAGCATGACAGCAAGTCATTACAAACGACAAACTTTTATTCAGTGGCGTAATTTGGGAGAACAGCATTGATTATAACAACAAGCTGATCCTAATGATAAACATATCTGAAACGAAAGTTGGGCTAATAGCAGTAAAATTGGAAATGACAAAATGTTGATATGTAATATATATATGTTATGATGCTTCATAATTGTTGGACAGAGACAGATTCCTATATGGAACTGATCAGAGATCACTTATAAGGTCGGGTTATACGTATTTGCTTTCGTTTTATATATGTCTAACATTGACACCCAATCAGATGCACTGGTTTAACGTCAACTCTGTCGACTACCTCAGGGTGCGCGCTGTATCAGAATTTCTTAAAACTCTATTCAATGAACACTTCTACTGTTGTTTGTAACTTGCATATCCAGGAAGCTAAGGTGTATTTCCTGTTTCCCATTCGTTGTCTTTTTATGATATTGTTTCGTTTTCAATGTGTTTGAATCGGAAGGCGTGGTATATAGTTTTAAAAAGAAAAGTTATTCCGCACATGCGACTGACGACGTCAGAATCTGCGCTTCGACATCAAAATTGTATAAAGTACCTGCTTTTAGTTTCAGTATAAATTATCTATTGTAGCAATGAAAAGGAAACACTACATTTTGATTTGATAGTTTTACAGTCACACTTATTACAAGCAGATTCAAATTGAATCAAAAACAGTTATGGAAACATTAACAATTTCAATTGACTTTATGTGCCCTTCCATCCGCGCCAAAAATAGTGATTAATATAAATTGAAGGAAACCTATTTAATAATTGTTGTAAAATAAATTTAGTTTATATATATTCAATGATATTACACCAAAGGTGAACTTAGCGTTCTCTTAGACTTTATGTTATAATTTAATTACATCATTACCATGTTGGAACGAAAACAGAAATGTATCACTCTCATTCATGTACACGAAGTCAATTAAATAAATCCTTACGGTTTTCGTAAAAAAAAATGAAAAATGTGTTTCACAATTGTTGTAAAATAGATAAAGTTTATTATTCAATGACATCAGAACAAAGGTGAAAACTGCGTTGTCTTAGATTAAAGTTCTACTTTTGTCCGTATCAATTACATAATTTCCATGAAACGAAAACAATTGTTTTACTCCTGTAACTTTATCCAGCAAGTTGTCAATTTTAATACATTAGTAAGGATTCATTCTACAAGAAATTGATTTTGAATATTTTTTCTCAAGGTACAAAGACACGTCGGTTAACATGGCGGAGGGTGGGCTGGGACACGAACAGTCGTCGGTAGATGGCGCCATGCGTCAGTCCCTTGACTCCCACTTATTGGAATGTCCTATCTGTCTGGAGCAGCTACGACAACCAAAGTCCTTGCCCTGTCTACATTCGTTTTGTCTGGAATGCCTGGGTAGCTACATCACTAAGGAGGTGTCAGGTAAGATGGCGTCAGCGTCGTCTTTCTCCTGTCCTGTGTGCCGGAAGGTCACTGAGCCAGTGAACCAATCAGAAGGTAAAGAGAGTTGGGCCGAGCAGTTCCCCACCAACAATCTGGCGGTCGAAATAATCCAGCATTTACAACAGACGGATAAGTCGATCACGTGCAAACCATGCGAGACTAAAGGAAATAAGAATGCCCCGGCGAAGTTTTGGTGTAAACATAACAACACTTATTTCTGTACAGACTGCAAAATAAACGTTCATGATTTGCTTCATGAAGAATGTGACGTTCATGACATTTCTGAATTAAACATGTCAGATATACTACAACGGAAGGCCTCAGTCACTGGATGTTGGAAACACAAGGAGAAGATGGAATATTACTGTGAAGATCATAAGCTACTTGGATGCAGTAAATGTATCATCGTCGATCACCGGAAGTGTGAAGTGGTGACGTCAACAGAGGATTACCGGGACAAGTTGAGGAAAAGCTCTAAGATCGATGATCTGCTGGAGGAACTTCGTAAAAGCACAGACGCCATGGAGATACTGATAAAGGATGTATGTGAGCAACTTAAAACCATGACACTAGATCAAGACACTGCGCTGCAAAGTTTGACCGACATGCGGAAAAAGATTAATGAGCGGTTCGATGTACTACAGAAAGATCTCACAGACAAACTGATATCGGCCTTCAAAGAAGAAAAAGAAAACCTGGAGATATCGAAACAGCAATGTGAACGGCTGATGTTCTCTATGCAGAACACGCTGACGTCATCCGAGGATGCAGCCTTGGAGGATGACACTGTTGGAACGATATGTCTGTTCCAGAGAGGACAGGCGGAGGTTGAGTCCTGTAAGGAACTCATACAGGAGTTGGGGAGGTCGTCTAGATCTACCAGTATCAAACATGAATATGATTCGGACATACTCGCCGTCGGCAACATCACCAGCCTAACTATGGGGGAAATTGTCGTTAATCAACAGCGAAGGAGACTGCCATCTACTGTGTATAGTAGCATAGTACCGTTATCGGAACGTCATTTGAAGACGACGGGGAAGTTCACTATCAAAGTTGCTTCAGACAAAAACAACTGTATAGCGTATGGTGTTGTCTTCCTACCTGGTGGTCGTATTGTTGTCGGAGACGATGAAAATAGAAAGATGAAACTATTTACAGAAAAAGGTGATTTTAAATTTGAGTTGAAACTTACGGATGCATCCTGTGATCTTTGTAGAATTGATAACAACACTGTGGCAGTAATACTGGACGAAGTCAAAACAATATGTATTGTCAATGTCGGGGCTTCAACCTTGACAGTTTCATCGAAAATCAAGATTCCAAAGCTTAAGGAAAGCTGTTTTGGTGTCGCATACCACAAAAACTATTTCACTGTCGGTACAACAAAATCAATTTATAGTGTACCAGCAAGCGGAATTGAACCGAAAAAACTTCTCACAACTGGATCAAAATGTTTGCACCTCGCAAGCAATCACAGGAATGGACACGTCTTTGCTAGTATCCATACCTCTACCCCAGACGAGGTGGCCGTGACCCGACTGTCGGACGATACCCACACATATATATTGAAGGTCAGTGTCGTGAAAAGTACAACAGGAATAGACGTGGACAGGGAGGACAACGTATATGTTTGTGGATGGAATTCAAACAACATAATACAGATGTCTGGGGATGGTTCAAACGTCAGGGAACTGCTGAAGTCATCCGATGGAATCGAACATCCGAGGGCGATTTCTGTGTGGGAGGATAGGATAGTGATCACAAACACAACCAAATCGTCAGACAAACAGAACTTTGTACACATCTTCCAGCTCGTTTGATAATCAAAAACTGATATGGTATAGAATTGACAAAATTATATACGAGAAAATAAAGCCCATATGACAAATGTACTTTATCAGTGAAACAGTCGTAGGATTTATGTTTACGTAAACCTACTACCCTTCAACCGATCATCTGGTCTTGCTCCTGTGCTGAAAAGGTCTACGGATTCAAACTTTGTAATCGTTCTGAGTCATGTACCCGACGTTCTCGTCTACACGTTGATGAAAGATGAATTTAAAGTTGACAGAACTTTGTTATACCATGTTATTGGGAAAAACTAATTATTATTAGCAGTGTGTGTATTAGTATATATCGGTCTAACAGGTGGGCGGGCNATAATTATAATTAGCAGTGTGTGTATTAGTATATATCGGTCTAACAGGTGGGCGGGCAAAAACGTGTGGTCGACTGGATAGATGAAATCATAAACAATTGTATAAAATCATATTTGATAACCTATGACCTTATTTGTGTATTATAGGTAACAGATATAGTGTTTCACTACATTAAAATGAGTGATAGGACCATACTGTCGGCCGGGTAACACCATCGGCTCCGCTTTAGATCATTGCAGTAAAACAACGTTATATGAGACTGCGATGTAACTTATGTACCATTAACTTCTGATAATGAATCATTTCTGTCGGCAACATCTACAAAATTGATTGAAGGATGTTTTGGCAAAAACAATACTACTCTCAATGTTTTCTTTTAAACAATATAAAGTCGAATTATCATGCAAATCGCTCATTTGTAGCACACATACTCCATGGAAAGTTCTCTCGTTCAGTGACAACACGCCATTCTGAAATTACATTTGGTTATGCATACCACAGTCTGCGTCATTCAACAAAAAAGGTTTAGGCTTAAATATGACAAACGTTGTCATAGTTGCCGCCTCGTTAACGGAAATAATAGTCGTGAAAATTATCATTCCAAATTCAATTTTTTTAATTGTTTATTTTTTTTCTCTTCAATACATTTTAACTGAATTTTGACTTGTAATTTAAATTGAGGACGTACCATACTTTTATGTTTGAACTTATTTTGATAAAAGACAGGACAACTTTCCACTAAGAAATTTAAGAAAACCCATCGTCATTGTTTGAAAAAAATGCTAAATCTTTATTTGATTTGAAAGATATGATTTTCAAGAAATTAACAAGTGTGAATGTACAAAATGTTTGTTATTAACATCGTGATTTCATAATAAAAATTGAAAAACAATTGTGCGTATCCTTCATTGCCTGATTCTGGTATTTGTCGCAGGTGAAACTAACCTATTTTGAACCTGATATACTTTTATGCATTTTATCATTTGATCGAGTAAAAGATCGAGTGGATTAAATAGCTGAATAACAATCAAACTATATCCATCTGATTATACTCACATATATATGACTAAATATACATTATCGGATGACTATGTTGAAAAGAAAATAACGGTTTAAGCTTCAGGACCTCATGAGCTTTATGTACAATGTCTATTTTTAGAAACATTTTTTTTCAGTCATAATCTGGTGTCGTTTTCAACAAGTTAGTTTCAATTATGAGAAGTTCTTTTTACACAACCAATAAAATTTGCTATGTGACGTTTCGATGATAAAATCGTTGTCGATTTCGGCTACGCTGGAAACGTATGTACAATAGTTGTTATATATGTACCGAAATGACTCAATTCAGCTACGCTTTGTTAACACTTGGTCATAGATGTGCGAGAGTCTTTGAGTCCCCTCGTCTCGATTTAGAACTGGCCCTCTTCGGCGTCTCCAGATGGCTTCCTTTATCTGCCGCTTTAATAGATTGCTCTCCTTGTCCAAAACTTTGGAGTTATCCCAGTCAATCACATGCTTTTGTCTGTGTGGCATGGTCTGTGATTGCCGATTTATTTATCTGGGACTCCGACTGTTTTCTTTCAGACCTGGTGAATTTCCTACCTTCTTGGGCTTCTATATCTTTCCGGTGTTCACCAAGGCGTACCCACAATCGCCTTCCAGTCTCTCCAATATACGACGCATCGCAGTTTTTGCATCCGATTTTGTATACGCATTCTGCGACGTTTTCTTTAGGTGTTTTATCCTTAGGGTGTACTAGGATATTGCGAAGCGTCTTCTGGGGCTTCATGGCTGTTGCTATGCCATGACCGCGATATATCCTCTGAATGGTTTCGGATATACCCTTTATATACGGGATAACCACTTGACCTTAGGTTTTGTTCTTATCCTTGATTGGCATTTTCTTGTTCTTCTCCTTACCATGACACTGGTTTTTTTTACCCGTTTTATGGCCCATTCCGGATATGCACATGTTCTCATTGCCCTAGCGATGTGATTCTGCTCTTGTGTTTTGTCCTGTTGTTCGGTGACTATTGTATCACATCTGTTGAGCAATGTGCGTATGACGCCTAACTTCTGGTGTAAAGGATGTTGAAATTTGAAGTTCAGGTATTGGACCGTATGAGTCTTTTTTCTATAGACCAATACCTTCACGGTTCCGTCTTCTTTCTTTACAAGTAAAGTGTCTAGGAAGGGCATTGTGCCATTATTTCTTCCTCACATGTAAATTTGATGTTAGTGACATCTATAGTGTTGAAGAAGGTGACAGTGTACATATCGTACTAATCATCGAAACGTCACATAGAAAATTTTATTGGTTGTGTAAAAAGAACTTCTCATAATCCATACTTACCAACCTGAAGAAAATGTTAAGAAAAAAAGTTAGTTTCAAGAATGATTACCTAATCATATTGATATAATGCATTTTCTCATTTTTCGTCCACAGAAATTGTCTTATCGATCAATCAAAACAGCTTTAAATATAATTTTTAAAATTTACAAAATATTTATGACATTAAACAATTAAATGTTATTTAAGTGCACAAACGCAAACTCATAATGAAAAGCAATAAAGCAAAAGCGGCTGTCGCCTAGATATACCAGACGGATGTCGTCGATGAACCAGAAGACGGCTACCCTTCCGGAACACCTAGTCTTATCCTCCTTGTGCTTTTACTAAGTGAAGTATCTGTATGTAAATATTTCCTTTGCCATGGCTTTTAGATCGTTTCTGAGTTTGAAATACGGATTATGATTAATCGGTATTAGTTTTGTTTTGCATCCACCAGTTTTACACGTAAAGTTGTCTTGAATCAGATCTTTTACAACACTCATATAGTGATACCAGGTACACAGACATCCACCCTCCCATACAGTGATAACAGGTACACAGACATCCGCACTCCCATACAGTGATACCAGGTACACAGACATGCACCCTCCCATACAGTGACACCAGGTACACAGACAATCACCATCCCATACAGTAATAACAGACACACAGACACCCACCCTCCCATACAGTGATACCAGGTACACAGACAACCACCCTCCCATACAGTGATACCAGGTACACAGACAACCACCCTCCCATACAGTGATAACAGGTACACAGACATCTACCCTCTCATACATTGATACCAGGTACACAGACACAGACATCCACCCTTTCATACAGTGATAACAGGTACACAGACACCTGTACTCCCATACAGTGATGTAGGGTACACAGACACCCACCCTTCCATACAGTGATACCAGGTACACAGACACAGACATCCACCCTCACATACAGTGATAACAGGTACACAGACACCTGTACTCTTATACAGTGATATAGGGTACACAGACACCCACCTTTCCATACAGTGATAACAGGTAAACAGACACCTGTACTCCCATACAATGAATTGAGTACAAAGACATCTACCCTCTCATAAGAGTGATACTGGGTACTGTACACAGACATCCGCACTCCCATACAGTGATACCAGGTACACAGACATCTACCCTGCCAACAGTGATACCAGATACACAGACATCTACCCTCCCATACAGTGATACCAGGTACACAAACACCCACCCTCCTATACAGTGTTACCAGGTACACAGACACCCACCCTCCTATACAGTGATAACAGATACACAGACATCCGCACCTCCATACAGTGATAACAGGTACACAGACAACGACCCTCTCATACAGTGATACTGAGTACTGTACACAAACATCCGCACTCCAATACAGTGATAACAGGTACACAGACATCTACCCTGTCATACAGTGATACTGGGTACTGTACACAGACATCCGCACTCCCATACAGTGATACCAGGTACACAGACATCCATACTCCCAAACAGTGATACCAGGTACACAGACATCCACTCTCCCATACAGTGATACCAGGTACACAGACAACCACCCTTCAATACAGTGATATTGGAACACAGACATCTACCCTCCCATACAGGAATCCCCGGAACAAAGACAGCTCCCCTCCGATACAGTGATACTGGGCACACCGACATCCACTCTCCAATACAGTGATATTGGTACACATACAACCATCCTCCCATACAGTGATACCAGGTACAAGGGCATCTACCCTCCCATACAATGATACCAGGTACACAGACATCCATACTCCCAAACAGTGATACCAGGTACACAGACATCTACCCTCCCATACAGTGATACTGGATACTGTACACAGACAACCACACTCCCATACAGTGATACCAGGTACAAGGACATCTACCCTCCCATACAATGATACCAGGTATACAGACATCCACCCGCCCATACGGTGGTACCAGGTTAACAGACATCTACCCTCCCATACAGTTATACCGGGAACACAGACGTCTACCCTCCCATACAGTGATACTGGGTACTGTACACAGACCTCCGATCTCCCATACAGTGATACCAGGTACACAGACAACAACCGTCCAATACAGTGATATTGGTACACAGACATCTACCCTCCCATACAGTGATACCAGGTACATAGACATCTACACTCTTATACAGTGGTACCAGGTTCACAGACATCTACCCTCCCACACAGTGATAATGGGTACTGTACACAGACATCCGCACTCCCATACAGTGATACCAGGTACACAGACAACCACCTTCCAATACAGTGATATTGGTACACAGACATCTACCCTCCCATTCAGGAATACCCGGAACAAAGACAGCTACCCTCCGATACAGTGATACTGGGCACACAGACATCCACTCTCCAATACAGTGATATTGGTACACATACATCCATCCTCCCATACAGTGATACCAGGTACACAGACATCTACCCTCCCATACAGTGGTACCAGGTTAACAGACATCTACCCTCCCATACAGTGGTGCCGGGAACACAGACGTCTACCCTCCCATACAGTGATACTGGGTACTGTACACAGACATCCGCTCTACCATACAGTGATACCAGGTACACAGACATCCACCCTCCAATACAGTGATATTGGT